AGGAGAAAACGGGGCGTTCTCGCTTAGCCATTGCCTGCTGAGTAGGCTTCATACCGCGAGTTGTTGCTGCAGGCACCAAAGCATGACTTGCCATTTTTTTTGTTGCTAATTTGGGATTTTAATTGAAGAAAAAGAAAAGATTGGTTTAATTTGCTAAGCTTTGTTTATGATGATGTTTAGTGAAGCATGCATGCAAGGTATATATAGTGAGAAAAAAATGAATAAAGAGGGTGGGGACAAATTGAATCAAGTACCTTGCTTGTAAGAGGGTGTAATATGCTAAAAGCACATACTAAAATGGATAAGTAATTATTAGCCTTGCTGCATTTGTGGACCCTTACAAATCTCTTTACAGCGTTAAAGTATAGAATAATTTTATTTTTAATTTTGATTGGTATAACTCAACTCCTAGATTTGATTGTTAGATGAGAAAGAATGTAATGTTAGTACTAATCGATAAGAGTTTAGAGTTTAGCACAATAGAGTTGGTAGCGGAACATAATTTATACAGTGTAATTTTTTAAAGAGATAATATCTTAAATGATTATTCATGACTCAAATGTGGATTATTTTCTTAAAAAACTATTCTATTTTATTTTATAATTTAAAAATCACTCAATTATAAATAGTGTAATTTATATGTACATAATAAGAAAATTACTTATTCATTTACATGGTGTAATATTTTAGCAAAGAAGAAACAGTACGTGTGGTTCCACTAATAATAAAATGGTTAAAATGGGAACTTTTTTTTTAAATATTATTTAAATTGATTAAGTGATTTTCTAGATGAAATTACAATAGTTGAATGACTTTTGAGTTATAAAACAAAGTTAAATGATTTTCAAGATATAAAACAAAATTGAGTATTTTTCTAAGAGAAACTATCCTTAGTTGATTGACTTTTGATTTACAGAACAAAATATAGTTGAGTCACTTTGTGATATAACTACTCATAATTGTGATTGATTTGGATCACCAATTAAACTGCGCTATTGTATATTTAAAATCACCGGGGAAAAGAGTACCTAATACTTTTTCAATTGAAGCAAACAAATAAATAATTTCCTTGATCTAAAATGTATCTTGCCATATAGTAATGAGAGTAATTAATAATCTAATTAGTCGTAGTACTAATTGGGTAACATCATGAGTTGTAAGAAAAATTAATCTTTTTTCGTACGTTGTAAAAACCTTGATAATTTTCTGAGCATTTAGAATTGAAAAGGAATAAGAGCATACTAAGCTCTTTGGATGAAAACGTGTTATGATTAATTTAATTGGTTCTCTCCAAACTCGTTAATACTAACCGGGAGCATTTAGCAAACGTTTGATCATGAATATTTTTTTATTTTCTTCTTGAAATTGAAATTCAAAAATTATGTTTCACCATACACCAAAAAATTATTTTCACTTCAAATTATTCATAAAAAATCAAAATCAACTTTAATTTATATTCATAATCAGATATAACTCAAATTTTTAAATATTATTTCTATTTTCTTAAAAATATAATCTTTTTCTTTATATGATGAGAAGAAGATAGGAATATATGTTTTTTTTTAATAGGAATATATGTGAGGATGACCTTTACTCCTTTTTTTTGTTAATTATATAGTATATAGTATATTTGTTCGTGTTGTCCCACTTACAAAGTGACAAGAGTATTCTTAATTAGACTACCACTTGCCCCTTTAGGGCACATCCCAATAAATATATAAAAAATAAAAAGACAAAACACTTAGAAACTTTAATTTGAGTCATAATTAGATGATATACTCTTAGTCTTAGGAGTTAGGACTAGGTTCTCTACTCCAAGTAACGGATCATTATTGGAATTTTAAAATATTTCCAATGAGGGAATTCTTCTTTTTCCTTTTTCTTTTTCTTTGTTTTAATTAATTTGTTGGGGGTTAAAAGTTAAGTAAAAAATCAGGGAAGAATTTAAATATTGAAGAGCATGTTTCATGTGTTGTGGACTTGTGGTGACGTTCCAAAGTAATTTTGGAAAACGAGGTTCATTACTCAACAAAACTAACAAGATAAGAACGAATAAATATATCACTATTTTAATGTGATATGCAGTATGCTTATATAATATTTTTTTTCTATATTTAAAAATAATTTAATTTTGTAATTTTCTTATAATCATTTATAAATCTAAAATTTATTTTAGATCATAAATTTTAAAAATTTTAATTTCATTTTAAAAATTTGTGACTAGTTAAATAGAGTCACATACATAAAATAGCAAGAATATCTAGGGGCGTTAAAAAATGAACCCAAACATAGGTAACTCGCCCAATCCGTCCAGAATTTTAAGGGTTGGACTCAAGATAATTTGAATTGGGTTCAATTTCAACTCATTCAAGTCTAACCCATTTTAAGAGAATCCTCAATTGAGCCCGATTCAATCTCCAATTTCAACCCGTTTTAAAACTCTTTACTAAGATATATTCCTTTATTAAAGATATGAATTATTATCTATTGAACATTTTTTAAGATTTATCTATCCATTTGTTATTTTTTTATAAAAAAATCTTGAGCGAAAATTTGAATTGTGATTATAAAAGTTAAATATCACTATGTTATAATTATTGAGATAAATCAGGTCAAATTGGACGGGTCAAGACCCAACCCGTTTTTAGCCCATTTGAGCCCAAAGTAAACTTGGATGGGTCAAGATCCAACCCGATTTCTATCTTAACCCATTTTAATATCTTCAATTTCAACCAAACCCACCCATTTGACACCCCTAGAAATATCAAACAATATTTTCCTAGATCTTTTTGTTTCTATCTAGCTTGGAAGTAATTGAGGTTTTGATATGTATCTTGTTATAAAGTTTGCATCTGTGAGCACATTCACATTGTCAAGTCCAAATAAAGAAGATGGATTGTTGAGGGTAAGTGGGAAACAACTTTTAATCTATTCTATAAAAATAAAGATAAAATTATGTATAATTTACTATTTTCAGATTCTACTTATAAAATTATACTGAATTTATTATTGTTATTTTTGTCTACATCTTGCTTTTAATTTGTTGTGAATACATAAGTCTATATTTTTTTAGTCCAATATGAAATCTAATCGCATTTTTTTCCACATTTGAAGAAAGGAGAGCAAATAGTGAAGTGTCACCAAAATTCAACTGAGTTATCTATTGCATTTGCCTTTTGGTGTGTCTAATAAAAGAATATTATATTTTTTTTTGCTCTTTTTAGTGAGTTTTTACGTAATAAATATGACGAGTAAAGAGGATGGAATTGGTACGTCACATTTGGATAAAGTAAAAGATTTTTTCTATACTATTTTTTCTAAATTAAACTCTAAAAAGATTTCAACAGTGTTATCATTTCAAACCGAAAACATAATTAACAGAGATTGGAAAATGTAACTTAAATCTAATATATTCACCTTATGGTGCATAGTTCAAATGATCACTTAAGTTTTATTTAATTGTACTGCATTCACTAACTACCTTTTTATAATGAATAACTCATCCATTTTATATAAGTATATCACAAAAAATATCTTTTGTAACTAAAGAGTAATTCAATTTTGTTTAAATATCATAGAAAATGTCTCATTTGTTTTCTCCTAGTGACTTTATGTATAATGCAAAATTAAGTAGCTTTTAGCTACAAAGAATTAAGCAGTTCAACGACTTTCGTGATATTTAAGTAAGTTGAGTAATTTTTTTTAATTATAAAAAATAATTTAGTGAATTTCGTGTAACAAATGAAAACTTTGCTATGCAATAACTATGTTAAATATTAAAATGAACATAGCTATAAAATTATAAGTTGCCTAATTCATTTTAGAATATGATCAAAATATGTGCCGTGAGAATATGACTCTTTTCAACCCGCTCCTTGTTTCCTTCATATGGTTAAATAAAAGTACAGTAAGAGATGAGAAGAAAGAGCATGTTTCATGTAGAAGACTTGAGAAAATGATCAAAACGGTTTTAGGTAATGCTTTATTTTGATCTTTAATATATTTCAGTTGATTGAAATGGTCCTTAATATATACTTAATAAAAGTGTTCATTTTGGTCCTTTATATATTTCACTTGATTGAAATGATCCTTAATGTATAACAAATGTGTTCATTTTGGTCATTTATCTTAAACTTAACAGATTTATAAAAAAAAATGTTAAATGTAATCATGAAACCCACGTAGCTAACAAAATTCAACGTTGTTGTCTTCTTTGTAAGCTCCAAAGAAAAATCTCATGAAATCTAACACTATTTTATTTACTTTCTCTAACAAATTTATTATTTTCTCTTGCTTAAATCAGAAATGGGTATTACGTCAGTAGAACAATATTTTAGAAAAGGAAAAATAGTAAATATTGTTGGAGAAACTAGAGAAAATGGTATTCGATTTTATGGAGTACTTTTCAAACTAACAAAAAAGACAACAAGGATAAATTTTTGTTAGCCACGTAAGGTCTATAGTAAAACTTAACACTTGTAAAAAATAAATCTGCTAGGTTTAGGGTAAAAGACCAAAATAAACACTTTTTGCTATACATTAAGGACGATTTCAATCAAGTGAAATATATTAAGGACCAAAATGAACACATTTGTTATACTTTAAAGACTATTTTAATCAAGTAAAATACATTAAGAACCAAAATAAAGCATTACCCATACATTAATGATCATTTTGGTTGTTTTCTCTAGAAGACTTACCTGGACTGGGTAACTCTTTTGTGAGGCATAAATTTATATCTTTACACCATAATATTTCATAAATTATGCTTCACATTTTAGACAACTTTTATCCCATTTAACATAAGTTCAATCAATTAAGGGCAAAAATGTAATTTACTCAAGAACATTGACCCATGTAGCTTTCGATGGGGTTTGGAGTTTGGGTAGACAAAAGTTGGGCCAGACAAAGCCCACAAAGTTAGCTAAGGCCCATACTAATTGAAGGCCCAATTAGAAGAAGAAAAAAGACACGTGGGAAGAGAAGCGTGAGTAAGAAAGAGGAGAATGCCAAGTTAAAGGATCGAGAAGCAGCGAGAGTGAATAATGCCGTCTTCAATATCCTTACATTCTGTGTCAGCTATAGCGTATGGTTTCCGCTACCGTGCGCCTTTAAAGCACACTTGTTTATTATACGCCCATCAACTCCATAGTTCTCATCGCCAAAAATCTCCTCTCTTCTCTTCATCCTTTTGCCGTGTCCTAAATCCCAGTTTCTTCACGGGAAACTCTCTCTTCTCTCGAATGGAGGTACTTTTTCTATCTGTTTGTTGTTTTTCGGCACCTCGCGTGCTTACAGGGACAAGTAATTTCATCAGTATCTCATGATTTCTAATTGTTTTGTATTTGTTTACTGATTTCAAATGATTCATTTCCTGCTATTCTGTTGTGATTGTGAATTTCTCAACAGTGAATGGAAAGAAAAATTAGTAGCAGTAAACAGGGTGAAGTGGAATAGTCAATCTCCACATAATCATTGGTTGGACAGGTCTGATGTAAGGAAACCGTAAATCTAAGACCAAGTAATGAAAGATAGAAGAAACACACAAGCATGGAACTAATAGATAATAATGACTATATTAAAACCAAAATTTTTATTAAGAATTTAAAGACAAGCACCAAATCTATAAGATAACAAACAATCTATCACTAAGATAAACCTCAAGAGGAATGCTTCCTCAAGCAAGCAATCATATCAACATTGTCCAGCAACAAACACCATAGCCTACTCTTGAGAAAGAGTTTCACTCTTCAAAGTCATATCATATCGAATTTCACACAGTCTAAATGAGTTGCTCACTTATTTATATAGTCTAGGCTAGCTATTACATAAATACCCAAAAGTGGCACTCAAATTAATTTGCAGAAAACAGCCCCAAACAGCCTGCTTCTGGAGTTTGTGATCGCCATGCCATGCCATGCCGCATCCTTGACTTGCGAACACAAGTACTCCGCAACCCTAAAATAGTGAGCCCTCAAAGTTCTAGCTAGATGTGACTTACATGTGTCCGCATTACACTAATTGTGGTCGCATTTGAGCTCCGCATCTCACGTCGCAAGTGAGTTCTTTTAAGTGCTTGAGCATGTTGTTGGCCTTCAAACCTTCATTCCAAGCACCCTCTAAGCCTCTAAAGTAGCATCTTGATGACAATCCTTGAACTCCCTAGCTCAGCTTGGCGTGCATGCATTCAATCTCACATCCTTTTGGCTATTATATTGTACTGGATTGTGAGAGTGTTCCTTTATGAGAGTCGCAATCTAATAATTGTCCTGGGAGAGATACTATGAATTTTTTTAATTGAGTTTTTCTTCAAACATCAGTGAGAAAGGGAGTAGAAAGGGTAGATTGGGGTGCCTGGATAACTAGTTATTTGTCATACTCTTGGACATCCTAGCAAGTAAATCTTCCTGATAGGCTGATACATTATTTTATCTATCTACCTCTATGAATAAAATCTTACGTCATCTATTATTTGTTTGTCACATAACTCAAATGGTTTAATAGCTGTGCATCTTTTTCTGCTTTCCGGTCAACCTTGAGCAGGTCACCAGATGGGCATATTTGTTATCTCTCATTTCAATCTTGTTTTATGTTTATCAACAGCAATTTTGGAGTGGAAGTGCCGTTAACAGAAACAAGGGAATGACTGAGCAGTTGCGAAGATATGGAGTCATAAAATCACAGAAAGTAACAGAAATAATGGAAACTGTAGATAGGGGTTTGTTTGTACCTGAGGGTACTCCTGCTTACATTGATAGCCCCATGAGTATAGGTTACAATGCCACTATCTCAGCACCTCATATGCATGCTATGTGTCTTGAATTATTGGAGGACAGGTTGCAGCCTGGCATGCATGCTCTTGATGTTGGTTCAGGTAATTATATATTGAGCTCACTCGTTTCTGCAAACTAATTCAGAAGCACATATTTATTAGTTCAACTTCCATTTGTCCAATTTGGCATCTTAGGATAGATTTTGATTCTACTCAGAAATGCTGTCCAAGTTATGACTGAATTGTGCTTTCACAGGGATAAGTGAGATGCTATTTATAGAGCTCTCTTATTGGGTCATTCTCATAACTTGCCTGGTTTTTCATGTCAGTAGATAATCAGAAATGACAAATGTGCATGCACTCAGTGAGTGATTAAATAGCAGCTTGTTGGTTCTCAATATTTTAGACAAGGTTGTTTCTGTTTTCCTGAGGTATTAACCTTTGTCTTGTGAGCATGTATCAACACCATCTTGTGAGATGTATCAGCACCATCATTGGATTGAGAAAGTCAACCATTTTTGCTGCACAACTTTTTCCTCTCGTTTTCCAAGTTCCTTGTTTTGTGGTTGCATGTCAAATGGATGCCATCTAGCAGCAAGCATAACAGTTTGGTGTAGTATCAACTCTACACTTGTGCTATGAGATCCATGAATCTTAATGTTAAAAATAACTTCTAATCCAATGTAGAAATAATATTTCCAGAAGGATGTTAAATGTTTCACATGATTGTTCTTTATCAAAATGTTCCACGTGATTGGCCTTTCCAGGTGAACAGTTAATAATTTGTGTTAGTTTGGTGTATAAATCTTAATAATCGTTGGATATTTGATGGGTCAAATTTAGATAGAAATGAAAGAATCAAATCTAGGGTCTGGTTAGACAGAGGATAATGATGAACTGTCTTTGCTTGTTTCTGTTTTGATCTTGAATGAAGAGTTGGTCTTTCTGTACCTTTTTTTTTTTTTTTGTACAAGTTTTTCCTGTATTAGCTATAAGTGGAAGTTCCATTCGTCATGAGCTTTTGAGAAGGTATTTTTATGTAATGAGGAGGTTTGTGGTCAAGGGAGCTATCTCACTAGTATAAATGTCCTCCATAATCGTAATTCTTAGTTGGAGTTTTGGAGAGAGAACTGAATAAATTAAACGAATGTGCAGTTTGCATGTTTTGGGACTTTCATGCCATTGTTACTTGATGAATATTTATTTTCTCTCAGATGGAAAATTTTAGGAGATACTGATAAGCTTTTAGAATGTATTCTTGTTGTGTTGTAAGTAATTAAATCCTATCAATTTGGATTGAGGCATAATTGATTGTTTGAATGAATGAAGGATGACCTTTTCTTGTCAAAGCTAATTATGTTGCAGCAGTCAGTTTCTTAATAGGTTTTTGTTTCATGTAGGAACGGGGTATCTCACAGCATGTTTTGCTCTGATGGTTGGACCACAAGGTCGAGTTGTTGGTGTGGAACATATACCAGAGTTGGTTGCGTGGTCAATCAAGAATGTTGAAAAGAGTGCAGCAGCTCCTTTATTAAAAGAAGGTTCCCTCTCTTTGCATGTTGGTGGTATGGTTTTATAGCATTTTCATATAGTTTATTCAGGAGACGCTTGCCGTAGCAAAGTAGTGTTCATAGATGGTTGGCTAATATTACTCTCTCCGTTTCACAAAGAATGACCTAGTTTGACTTGGCACGGAGTTCAAGAAAATAAAGAAGACTTTTGAATCATGTGGTTTTAAATTAAAGTTATGTCAAATGTACAAAATTGTTCTTTAATCTTGTGGCCTTAAACATGTCACGTGGAAAGCTGAAATTAAAATGTTACCAAAAAAAGAAATAGGTCATTCTTTTTTAAACAAACTAAAAAGGAAAGGAGGTCATTCTTTTTGAAACGGAGGGAGTATTTCTTTTTCCAGTCTGACATGCTCCCACCATGAGACTTTTCTTGAGGCTGTTGACAAACGAGTGTTTTTGGTAACTTGTGCATCATTGCAGATGGGAGGAAGGGTTGGCCAGAGCACGCACCTTATGATGCTATTCACGTTGGAGCAGCTGCAGCTGATGTTCCACAGGATCTCATTGACCAGTTAAAGCCCGGGGGAAGGATGGTGATTCCAGTGGGTACTTTTTTTCAAGACCTCAAGGTTATAGACAAAAAAATGGATGGTTCAATAAGTGTTCGAAGTGAGACTTCTGTCCGTTATGTTCCACTGACTAGTCGAGAAGCGCAGATAAAGGGCACTGACTAGTTGAGAAAGCACAGATAAAGGGCACATAAAGCTGGTTGTTTCTGGCGATGGTAATCTTGGTCCCCCACTTGTGTGGCAGTCCAGTTTGATATTTTGTACAGTTTCACACCTCTTTGCCTGTAAAGAATGAACGATCTGAATGGTTCTGTATTTAATTCCATGCAAATTATCTCCTGTAGAACCTACCTCTCTCTTCCTTGTGCTCTCTTGGCTTGTCGGTAATATATTTCTTGTCTAGCAAAAGGAATCGGTTGGTTACATGTGTTACTGGAGATAATACTGATATTGAATTTAATTACGAAAGCAACATTGGATTGCTATATCTAATAGCAGCATTGATGGATTAGATCGGTAAACACTAACACACGACCACAGAGAGAGCTTTTCGCCTTTGCTTACCTGCTTAACCGTACACTCCTATAGTACAGTACCTATATATATATATAGCGTATCCTGTTACCTGCACCAAGTGTTGACAACAAAGTGATGCTCCTTCAAGTAGTTAAGTGATATAATGTTGTGAATATACACATGGTATGCATCTTTGGATTAATGTGAAGGTGGAGATCCTGAATCAGAACACCAGTAAAACAATTTACAATGCTTTCTATTTTGCATATGATGTCATACCAAATCTCTTGATCATAGTGAAGCTTCCTATCCATTCTGAATAAGTTCTAGCAACATGAAGGTGTAAAAGCTAACGGCAAATGAGTACCAAATAGAATTCAAAATCTTACAGCATTCAATCCTCTACTTCAGAGTTTCCAAAGGGCAAGAGCGGAAGAAAAAACACAAAAAAAAAGTTGCTGTGCCCTATATAAGTAATCAACGAATAAAAACTTACAAGTAGAGAGCTAAATTAAAGACGTTTGATGAAAATCTAACTGCTCATAGCTGCAGAACTGTCACTGCTAAGCCAATCGAACAAATAAAACATATGATCAAAATCAAAACGTGTTGCGCCTAGGTCTTTCTTCAGCAGCATTTACCCTAATCGTCCTCCCATCCAAAGTCTGAAATACAACAACGAAGAGAAACTATTAGCTTCAACATCAAATATCTCGAAAGAAAATATATGCCTAACATGAATCTGTCAATGAGGTCAATGATCAACCAAGTAACTAAGTGTTCAACATCTGTATTAAGCAGACAATACAAAGAGAGGTCATTTCTTCCGTGAACAAGTCACATCAGGAATCATAATACTTGAATTATAATGAACTTGATAATCATCATCATATATTTGCATTTCTTGTCGGATTAGTTAATCATATCAAAATTTGAATATACCAACCCAGTTGTCGTCACTATGAAACAGATCCACAATCTCTTATCTAATGAATATGTAACTAATATATAATATTACTTTGTCTAGCTTTCATTGCTAAGACTTTCATCGCTAAGGTGATTGGTGTGCTAAGGCAAGCAACTTCTCTTTCCAAAGAAGAATGCCAAGTAAAGTTCGGCTTTATCTTGAAGCAAAACCCACCAGGTTAGCTATTACAAGAATTATTAGAAACTAATATGAGATGACAAGAAGTAGCTTAACTAAGCAAGTAGTACTATAGCAACCATTTTATGCTCTTACATATGTTCCACTAACAAATAAACTAGTGTGATCCCATAAATGGGGTTTGGGGAAGATGGAGGCATACACAGTTTGCATAAATAGTGTGGGAAGTACAAACTAACTAATGTGGGTTTGCGTTACTGATACCAAAAATGACAACCAAACACTCGACACTAATGCAAAATCGGTACAGTACTACAGTTTATTTCAAGTGATGCAATAAACAAATGATACCGGAGTGTACTAATCTCATTTGTTAGACTCTTACACATCTTAATTTTCTTCTTCTTTTTTGTTTTCTTTTTGCTGGGGGTGGGATAATAGTGAATCTAGACATCGTTGGTACTTCAAGATGACACCGGCAACCAATTTTAACTTGGCCTCTAGCCACAGAATACGATATCTATAAGATACCAATTTACAAACACAGGTTTTATAAACTATATTCCCATATTTGAAAAGTTGCATGTATAGCTTGTCTACTCCTGCACAACGCCAATTATATAAAATAAGTGCAGAAAGACTGCATGCCATTACAAATAAATTAAAGAGTTAGAAATCTATAAAGCGTAAAATTTGGTTCCATCACCAGTATAGAAGCACATGTTGGTAATTCTCTTGCTCTCTTATAAGATTCAGAATATAGGGATATCAGAATCAGGATAGATATCTAGTAAATTAGAGAGGATCCTGATGTTAGTTAAACATCTAGATCGCAGGCACTTTGCAATTTATCATAGAAAACTAATCAAAATTCTTAAGAAAAAAGTTGATCTATCATTAAAAATCTAGAAAAGAGATCTAACTTTTTTCTTTTTTCATAGTAATGGTTAGAAGGTGTCGAAGCATTTAGAATCAAACTCATGGATGGACTAAAGGACTCATGCAATGATCAATTCCTATCATGCATGTGTGTGAGTGTCATAATGTGTGTGCACATCACCTGTCCATCAAGGTTGGCTATTGCTTCACTCATCTCAGCTTCACTTGACATCGTCACAAAACCAAAGCCTCGTGATCTTCCAGACTCTCTGTCATAAACCACCCGGGCACTTATTACTTTACCATGTTCACTGAAGACTTGCTCAAGGCGTGCATCATCAATGTCCCATGGGATGTTGCCAACATAGATTCTGTAAGTAGGCTGAAATGTTCGAGGTGGACGTTCTGGCTGTGATCCTCTTCGAGCAGCTTTGTTGACCGTCAAGAGCCTTCCATTGATATCCTAGCCAAATAAAATAGATAATTAGGAAGAGTTTCAGTAATATGCCAACGTATCCACATGTCACATCATAACTAAGAAATATCAGAATTGTGTGACAGGCCTTTTCTAAAGGGACAGCTCAAGGGCATAGCACATGGAAAACATCAGATTCTATTATTCACATTCACTCTTAAGTGACCAGCACATTCAGTCAAACACACATACAAAATAGTTAGTTGGTAAAAGGACAAACCAGCCTTTCCCTCTCTACTTCCTCTCTTGCTCATGCTCATCCATGGAGGGGTGATAATAGTGCAGAAGACACTCCTACTCTCTTGCTTCAGAGCTACTATGGAAGCCCTTTACCTTCTCCCAAGTTTCCAGAGGGAACAGCCTCTTGATTGGGACAAGTTATTAATAAATCAACTATGCCTACCCAACTTAGTTGGTGCAACAATATGAATCGTTTTTTTCAAACTGTATGAATCTTCTATAATCATTACTAGGGATAGATTGCCAATCAAGAGTGAATATTCTCTACACATGCTATCAACATAAGAAGCAAACCAGGAGAGTGGAAGGAAGCATTTCAGCCAACAAGCTCAGCTTCCTTCCTTCAGTAGTGAGCTCAGAATGCTTTTACTTCTGTCATGTATAAGGTAACTATCATAAAGAAATTTTTTACTTGTGGAGATAATGTTATAAAATCACATGCAACAATTTTTCACAACCTTAATGGATGGATATCAAAATCATCCTTCCTTTCAAAAAACTCACCTTCACCTGCAAATACTTGTTTCATGAACCTTTAACTCTAGATATTTAAGTTCCATTGAAATTTTTTTTTGATAAAGAAGTTCCATTGAAATTTTATAAGCAAGTTGATAAAGAAAAAGAGAATTTCTCACATTGTACATGATATTAGAGAATCAAAACAACTTAGAGGCAAAAGGACTCTTGAGCCTCAATTGAACCTACAAATATAGAGTTAACCTACATTGTTTCTTAGTAGAAATAATGTAGCCAAAAATGGGGAGGGGTTCTGATTTGCAGCAACAAAAAGAATAAACGTCTCATATCTAATAGAAAGCATCTTCAAGTTCAACTTTTGACAGCAAAATCCAAGAATTCAACATAAAAAGAATAAACCATAATGACAAATTCATCAAAGAAACAGAACCATTGTAACTCACATAACGGTTGTACAGTACTACAGCTTTCTCAGCTTCTTCCACAGTGCTCATCGTCACAAACCCGAATCCACGACTCCTATCAGTCTCCCTATTGTAAATGACCTGCAAAACCAAAATTAAGTACAACGCGATACCTGAATCTCTATTTTTTCACTATTTTGAAAAAAAAGGTTCAAACTTGTCATTGAAATTAGGGCATTGTTACCTCAGCAATCTCAACAACACCAGCCTGTTGAAAAAGTTGAGCCAACCCCTCACTATCTATATCATAGGGTAAATTCCCAACAAACAATTTCGCATCTTCCGGAGGTTCTTCGTACTCCTCCGCCTCGGCCTCAGCCTCATCACTCTCCCCTGCATCACCAACACTTGCAAAATCAAAGCTAAGCGATTCCCCACCTTGTTCTTTATCTTCAAGGCCAACACTGCTGTCATCATCTTGCTGAGCAGCCACTACAGAAACAATAGATGGGAATTGGGTAGTTGTCTTTTTAAGAGATAAAAAAGAAGATGAAGAGGAGAATGAGGAAGAAAGGGAGATGGGTTTTAATGGGGTTGAGATAAAAGACATGGATTTGGTGGTAGTGAAGAAGGGTGGAAGAGTAAGGCAAGAATTGGTCGCCATGGATAAATTCTTGATTAAGGGTTTGGTAAGAGAAGACATTATCTTTAGGGTAGAGTGAAAGGAAGAAGATAAGGTGGGAGTAGAGAGAGCAGAGGTTTTGAAGCCGGCGGATGGTCCTAGTTCCTTTGAGATTTTCCCCCTCAGGCCCCCAAATATGTAGCCAACACTCCTTTCTTTACTACATTACTACTCTATTATCTTAGGATTTTAAATATCACATTTTTTTTTATAAAAAAAATAATTCAAGATAGACATTGTTTTGTAATTTCAAATTTCACAAGTTCTTTTGTAAAATTTGAAATTTAAAAGCAATGTTTAATTTTTTCTATGACAAGTCAAAAGGGATAGTAAACACTATTTCTACCCCTTTCTCTCCTAGTAATGACCTATATGAACTATGTTTGAAAAGGTAAAAGTTGAAACTAACACAAGATTAGGGCACTCACAAGATGTTCCTATATCAAAAATAGATATTTCATGCTATTTGTCAATTTTAGCAAATTAAAAGAGTTGATAATTTTTAATAATTGGAGACTATAATAATAATACTTACATATATGAAAATTTAGATGCGTTCAACTGTCTATTAATCTTATATCCTAATTCTAGATTTTTATGCTCCTTTCCCATGGGATCATGATTAGAGGTGTCATGACATGTCTAATCACTTTT